AGAAATATGAAGGAGTGTAGGTTTGGTTTCCATCCTTGTGCAGCGTTTGGTTCCTTTCTTCCTTCACAAGGTCTAGTTGTTGCCGGGATAACCAAGTTGACGGCGCAACCTTCGCTTCCTTGGCTCAGCCGGAACAGTAGCCGGCTTGGTTAGAGCTCTCATAACACACCGTCAGCATTTCTTGTTTGCCACACCACAAATAAATTACGTCTACCCTTGAAATTGTTGAGTAATCCGTTTGGATTGACAGGGTTATCCGAGCGGTAAGCGCCGGATGAGTCGCGATAGAGGACGAGAACAGGACTATACAAGAGTAGAATTCAAGAATATAAATGAACAGGTATGCATCCCAAATGAATCCTGCCTATAGCGTCTAAATCTCAATAGCTAGTCCCAGTTCAGTCAGCTGTTCTTCTCGAACTCAATGTCCTCTCTTGACATCTTCTTCACTAAGATATCACTAAGATATGCAATTGAAAGATAAAGCAATTTTCATTGCGAGACGGTAGGTCATACGATACTGTATGGACGAGGTGAGACAAGAAAGCAAAGAGCCCGAGGATTCGATAGCAAAGGCTGACGATGCAAGTCAAATGGATGTACTGAGAAAGATTTCATCCTCCTGTCGTAGCACTACTCTATGATTGCTTGGGTTCACGACTAGTACACGACTCCTGGAATGACTGTCATAGGGCCCTCCCTCGGATTACCTTGCTGGAAGCAGGTTTACATCGTGTTAGCCTAGATTAAAACCGGTCACATCAAGCTAGGGAATACTATACCTCATCTGTCCATCGTAAATTGCCTTGAATCTTCGTGCCTTTGAAGTTTATGACCGCCTCATAGTTCAAGTACCAATAGACACCCTTGTTTCCTCTCGTCTTCATTAATGACGATTTCATGTCGTCGAAAGTTATTTTAATTTGGCAAAGCTCCCTAATACCCGGATGAAGGCCACCTATACGACGAGTAAGCATTCACAAGTGGTCAGGCAGCAAGAGAACTAACCAGATGCACTCTTTACCCAGTGGGGCACGTCATCTTCATCGCATGCATAGACAACGATGGACTGTGGTTGGATATCGTTTGGAAAGTGTCTCCAAGTATTCCTATACCCGAATCGCATCATCCAATCTTTGCCAAGAGGCGTATTCTTGATTCTTTTGGGTAAGAATTCGTTGCGTCATCCAATTTATCATAGAGCAGACCTTCTTTGCCCAAGATTGGTATATCCAAATCCGTTTATCTCCACTTTTTTCCCATGTCAGTAGTGGAAACAATCAGACATAACTCCACATACGCAGCATCTTTGAAGATCAAGTCCTTACGAAGTCGATGGATTGTACTCAAGGGGTCGAAGATGGCCCCATAATTAGCTCCAATTGTAAAGCGAAATGCTCGTGTTGTGACTAGCTGCTTGATGTAATAAATTACTGATCCCTCTCTAGAAAAATGTGGAAGGTGCATCATTATGACTTGCTTCTTCGTCGATGACTATGACTTACGCGGCTGCTTTCTTCCTGAGGAAGGCATTAGGATCAATTCATTCTAAATCATGAGCTTACGAACGAAGGCTCATCAACTGTCACTATCTCCACTCGTTCAAACGACTCTGTTAGACGCTTCCGGAGGAATGGTGACTCTCCGAATCCGCCTACGAGAAGAATAAGCTTCATATAATGCAGTTTAGTATATAATGATCTTGGAATATGATGAAAGAACGTACTCCAACTTTACAAGTACTAAGGAGCTTTCCGCACGAGCTGACGGTTCTAGCGACCGTATCATCAAACGTAGACCTAACTTCAGCTGTAGTTAGATTTATTTTTCCTTTTAAAATCCCATGAGATCTGTCGTTGTCTCGGGCTCTACCGAATTGAACCACATTCGACGACTGGGTACCATCGAAGAGACGTTTGGTCTATTAGAATCATTGTATGAGTGACCGTTTCATTAATGGTATCTGGTGGTAGCTATTCACACCTTCTTCTCGAATTCACTAACCATCTCCTTGAGGTATTCATCCTCGTTAAACTGAGAATTTCCCAATTTATTCTCCAACATACGTCGGGCGGCACGATCCACAAACACACCACCAGCCTACCGGAGCACAATCAAATCAGTAAAGGGAATGAGAAGAGAATTAGCCTCATACCTGAACACATTCACTTGCGCAAACCTCCTCCAGTTGAAGGGGTTGTACGCTTTTACATTCGTAGAGGGTACTGTCAATGGTGGACCCTCCTGCATCAACAACGGTGAAATGTATACCCCTCTCCAACCACATAGAGCTTCTTGTATGCGCTAGTGCATAATGAACAGACGCTTCTCCCTCCGTAATAAACTCTATTCTATCATCTGCTTCTTCTGCGCGGACGAGCCTAGCATCAATGACGGCTTGACGAAAGAGGGATTGTTGCGCTATATCCCAGCCATTTGGCATGCAAAATACTAGCACAATTGAGGTTTCTAGTCGATTCCATATATTCTGCCCACTAGGTAAGCTTTCTGCGAAGAATTTCTTCGTCTTGGTGTACAAGTACTGGATCATATCGGAATATATTTGTTTTAGTGTTGTGTTTCGCGGTAGATCTGGTATCTCAATTCGCGAGTTTTCGTGAGGGTTGCCATAAGAGGGTGGTAGGTCAGATGTTTTCATCGACTCTGGATGAAGGTGCAGCTTTGGGATGATTGTCAGGTGATGGTCAAGAAATCAACCGGAGATGGTTCTCACCTTGAACCATGAAGCTATCTCATAACTTTCATCATCCATGTATTCCCGTGCTTCCGCTCCAAATGCCTGAGCCTTGCCATTCTGATATGCAATGATAGTAGGTATCTGTGTAGGATAAGACCATTAATCTCAACTGAATCGAAATTAATCCCTGGACTAACCTTCGAATCACCACTAGACTCGGGTTGACCAGGCCATTTGATGACCTAGAAGTAGGCGCCATACGCTAAGTAGCAGGTAGCCAAAAATATGGAGAAAATACGCTTACCGTTCGAACCTCAGGATATTCTCCAGGGTATACATAAGAAAAGGACACTGCACCTTGAAGATACGAGAGAGGTTTGTATGAGCCAAGCGCCATCCTTCTTTCCAGGGTCAATGGTCGGTCGTCTTACTTTGGGTGGTACCAATATCAAAGCCGATCACGATATTTTCGTCTCCATCATAACGTTTGTCACTCTTGTATGTAGCCATCTTAAGCGTTCCTATGATAGCTGGTCAATGAGAGACCTGTCTACCTATCGCTTTTGAGCAAGGGTCCAAGTGCCATCGAGAATGGCCGGATTGGGCGCGCCCATTTGAATACTCGGCACAAATCATGGGGCAATTAATTCTTCGAAAATACTAAGATCTGATTTATATATCACTAGAATGTAGATATATATGCCCCGACAGGCCGTAGCGTACGCCAGCCGCGTCCTAGAAAGAACTCTGATTGCTATTAACGTCTCCAACAGCGGAAAATAAAGTAGATTGAAGAGCGGTTTCTGGTATCTATGTAGGCTCAAGAGATCGGTAATTCTGGAATTTGGTCTCAAGGCTCATGATATTTCCAATAAAATGGCCTTTCCAATGCCGGCAGTTCTCATATTACAGAGTAGATGAGCCATTTGTATGCTCTGTGAACAGGTTTACTGTTCATCTTGCGGCTTTAAATTTGTTCGGCTGTTAATTAGTCTCATGACTCACGGTGGGCAAGCATCGATTCCCCAGAATGAAGAGAGGCCAAAAGGTAAGTCGCCACAACCCATTTTCCAGTCACATCGTAATGAATATTTAGGTTTGAAACACAGAGATTAGTCATTGTAGCAAAGGGATCAAGAGTTGTAAATGATTTTGGAAGGCAAAATGATGTCGAGCCTCCTATTTTGAAGAATAGATACTATATTCCATGGCGAATAGCTACATTGATCTGTTTTGAAAGCTGGTTGTGCGGACTCACCTTTCACACAGCGTACGTCCAAGAGTTGTTGGTCATGAAAACCGGCTAAATACCGAGTCGGCATTTGAGGTTTTTCACTTGAATTCTGGGCACTCTTCTGAGAGAGAATAGTCGAACTTTTCAACTCATATTCTTCCTGTTTTCAGTCGATTGAATGTCATTTAAGGAGGATTAGTGAAACTATCTCCCTCAAGAAAACTGACTGTATTTCAAATTGAAAACCGTACATGCCGACTCGGTATTTAGCCGGTTTTCACTACCAACAACTATTGGATGTACGCTGTGTCGGCCACTCCTCAATCCCAGAAATCGATGCATGCCCACCGTGAGTCATGAGACTAATTAACAGCCGAACAAATTTAAAGCCGCAAG